AGAGTAGTCTCAGAGGGGGATCTAATTAGCAAAAATGCATTCAAACATGATTAATTTGTAATCCTGGCACCAGCTGTATTCAACCAAATGCTATACTTTATGAGACAAACACTAGTGAGTTTTACATCTGTTTCATGCTAAGATAACATCTGTTTTATTCACTCACAATACTTTTCCAATTCTACAGCAATTTATACTTTTCCTAGTGTTCCATGTCAATAAAAACATACAGACTTATGGGTAAGCATTGTAAGAGCACGTTTATCTTTCTGTATATTCAATTTGTGAGTCTTTAACAAAGAAGTTATTGCTGTTCCAAGGAAAAAAAAAGAACACTATCCTCCAGGATACATATAGAGTTTCATACGATTTCAATTTATGCAATTGTATCCTAATAATATTAAGCATTCAAAACAAAATACAAAGGACTTCCTCTCAAGGGCAGTGCAAAAATTCTAGAGCTTAGGTTTCCTCAAACTCCTTAACCAAGTCATTCAGAATACTGAGCAAGCAGGCAAAGTCCGAGTTGAGTTTTTCTATAAATAAAGAGCATAAGCAAAGCTCCAACTACTTTTCTTTTTGACAAAGCTAAAACACAATTTGTGTAACTGAAAATATTTTTTAGTTGTTCAATTTAAGATCAGAAAGATTATAACGTTATCTCAACCATACAAGTGGAAACTCAATACAGACAGCTGCTATCAGTGTTCCTGGTTGAGAATCATGCCTTCAGCAAACATATTTAATCCTTGTACATGGTCTCTTGGCTGGCTAACCTCATGCCCATCTGTTAGAATGGCACAGTTCCTACTCAGATCAGACTTTTGATCCAGAGTAAAAGTACCCATGACAACTCAACAGGTACCTCTGGAAAAGTACCACCAAAGTACTGGACTGCCCTCCTTCTCTTTATGGCTTACGCATTCATTTTGTAGAGTTCTAATTAGGTGGCTTCCTGTTTCCCCACTTTTTTTCATCTTTCTTTTATATTCAAAATGTAAAAAGGGAAAATACAAGCACTTCAGAGAAGGAATCCCAGAATTCTTATCCTGCATGTCTTAAAGATTTTAAATTTGATATTTTTATTCCTGACTTCTTGCAAGCAGCAATTTTATTAAAGTAAAATTCAGTAATAGTAGTCCAAATGCTTACTCAGAAGGGATGAAGAACAAATGAAAGCTCTGAAGTTTTCCTGTTTGTGTTACAGTATTAATTTGCTATGTGGCCTTGGTTCATTCCTGTTCAAAGTTTCTTCAGAGTTTGCATTTGAACAAGCAATACAACAGCTGACATGAGAGGTGATGCAATTCTCCCCCTGCCTCCCCATTTTGTTATTTTCATAGTAGATCCTGTTCCCAGACGATACTGTACTTGAGGAGCAGTCACTAAACTGCTATTGAAAAATCACTGAAAATAGACTAGCCATTTTATATGTGTCATGCCAAAAAGTTTTCAGAAAACTGAGAAAGGATTTTTGGATACAAAATCTGTTTTGGCTTTCACCATCATAAACAGAGATCTCTGTTGCTTTAATGTATATGAGAAGAGATTCAAACTTTTTTCTTCAAAATTGTTTAGTCAAGATAAGTGATTATAACCTTCTGTGATCCCTGCTGGAAGCGTACACAAACACAGCTTCTGACTACGTGACATGGTATTCTGCATTCTCATTTTTTTTCATTGTTCTTTCAGGAAGTCTTGGAACAAAAAAAAAAAAGAATACCAGTCATGTACCTCTTTCACAGCATAAACCACTCTTCAAGATCTGCATTTTCAGTTTTTCTGGTAAGAAAACAATTTTACATCTTTCTCCAATAACCATGGCAAATTTGTAATAGCAGGCATATCTATTAGCAAATAAGAACAAGATTCACACACACTGCAGCAGCTGAAATCAATGCACTGTTGAAAGCCATATTCAAAATGGAAAAGAACAGTGTAACAACCACAGAACAGTTTTTCTTGTTGGGTGAACCACTGCTGGAAGACACCCAAAACTGAACTGGCTTTCTATGAATTGCAACTGAAATTACAGAAAGGCAATCACTACAAGTGTATGTGCAAGTTGTGACTTCAATTATGTAGAAGTTAAGAATCATGACTTTGCATAATGAACTCTTTTTACTTGCAATTTTTAGGGTTGAATACAATTGGCAAACTGCACAATTTTGTAACTATGCAATCATGATGTTTATATATCAATGGGGTCTTCAGGACAAGAGTTCCACCTTTTGTACCTAAATGGTATATGTAAAAACCTCTGTCTAGTTTAGTGCAAAAATGTCAGATAAGCACTGCAGACCTCCTTCTACTGATGTACAAAGAGAGGAGTACCTTCACATAAAAGAAAAAATGACAAAACAAGTCTCCCATTACATCTGGCTATATTGATTTAGTAGCCATACATACGCTTTTGTGTATGAATTCTTACCATCTGACTAATTGTAGCTTATTGGAAGAAAGGAATAAAGTTCAGGGAGCTAATAAAAATTGTTGTTATACAATTTTTATATCTGAGTTCAGTAACATAAAATCCCCATATTTGCAGTTTACAGCCAGAGTGACTGAAGTTACTAATTTAAAAGGTATGGAAATATAACTGATTTAGAATTTATTTTCTATGTTTCAGAGCAGTGGTGATGCACTACTATGTTTCATAGGTATGGGGGTTAATGAAACACTGGATGTGTATTTGTATTGCATCTGTTTATTCTATATGTAATCTTTAATAAAAATAAAATAGAACAAAATAACCTCTGTGCTTCATTAAGCAAGGCATGGAATAATTGTGTGCCAAGGATTAGACTACAGTCCTCCCTTCTGAGAATTCGGGCTGGGGTACGTATTAAAATAAAACTTACCTTTCAAAATGTTTAGAAAATTCAGTTAACATATGCAAAAATATATGCTTTGGCCAAACTATAAAATGTTAGAGAGAAAAAAGCAATTTTTCCATTTATTTTCAACTTAATTTTCCAGGATCTCAGATTTTTCCATAGCATATTTTATTCTTGTCTTTTATTAATATATGGTGTGTACTGTAATTGTAAGATTAGCCAATTCAGAAGTGTTGGAAAACATGTACATACATCTAGAGACACTACAATGTCCACGCATACATATAGGCACAGAGATGTCTATATACTGTTTTACAGATGTTAGGATGAGCCTGCCTGTCTCAGCTTTACAGGAAACTTCACAGGCTCTTCATACGTAGTATCTTCCCGTACTACTCATAAAACAGTATTTTGTTCAAACTTTATCTCATCCATGTATTCCTTCTCGGCTTAGCTAAGAGAAAGCGTATCAAAATACACAGTTTAGATTTCTTCTCTTGCTATTCTCACTTATGCCCACAAAATGCTCTGATATGGATACTGGCAAGAAAACAAGTCTAGACTATATTTAGGTTATCAGTAAAACCCTGGAAAGCTGAAAGCAGAGTCAGAGTCTGACTTGGCAGACAATTGCAGAAAATTTGATCACACTTGACTCATCCCCAACCTTCTTTGTATTTGCAAATAAACTGCATGGGATACTACCTGTTTGGTCTCAAGCTGTAATAAATAATTTGAGAACAAATCTTTAAAAGTACCTTTGAATCTTGCTTGGGATGTAAGTGTTTACAAAATAAATTGCATTTGTCTGATCAATCAAGTTAGAGCTATAGCCTTCTATTTGGGAAGTTATCCTTAGAAACAATGTAAGTTGAGAGTGCGTACACAAAAAACACAAACAGTATACACTCACTGAACACAGCTCCAAAAAGCAGGAGTACGTATGAAGCCTGATCACTTTTGGCTCTGTGTTACAACTGGTTATTTTATCTCTAATAATATGTGAAATCTCATTAAAGCTTTTCCTGTTATCAGTTTAAAATTAGCACTGTAGCCACATGCATTCTCTGGTGGAGTTCACATCTTACTCAGTGATCTCACATTATACCTTTTTCAGTATCTGCATCTCTTTCTCCTTTAACCTGCTGGTAGATGAACTTAATGCTTTTTAGAATCTTTCCATCGAATCGGCTGAAATTGCTCAGGTTCCAATGTTCTAGTTGTCATATCAACTTCATAGGATGAAATGAGAGCTACAGAGACAACAGAATCCAGACTAAAAATATCTAGACGGTTTTATTTCAGTTTTGATAGCTAATGGCATTCTAGCGTACTCAAAATGAAAACAATAATTATCAAATAAAATGAGCATTTAATCCATTGGGAGGCAACTTAATTGCAACTACAGACTTGCTTCTCTCAGTGAACTTTGTGTCCCTCTGTATCAGTTCAACAGAATAAAAATGCTGTATCCGTTATGTTCATACATTGCCACAAGACCATGCCTGTTTGTACTTCAAAATACACAATACCTGTGAAATTAATCAATACTTGCTTTTGGAAGGAAAAGGCAAACCTAAGGTGTACCTTCAACATATGTACAATCTATCTATATATTCAAAGAAAGATGAGAGTGGGTACAAAACAGTATTATATGTATAGTACAACAGCAATTGTTTCAGTAAGTGGCAACTATTTTTATTATGGGAACATAAATGTTTCTGGGACAGAAAAGGTATGTCGTATAGGAAAGACATATTGCAATGCAAGTATGCCAATTAAATATACGTCCTCTTTGAATAACATAATACATTGAGCTAACAGAGTGAATTTTAGGCATCTAAAAGGAAAATTACTCACCTGTTTCTTTTCTCTGGTTAAATTTAGATATGTGTACAGCTGCATTATTTTCCCATGCAATGATTCTAGGAAAAAACTAGTCAGGCCTGGATCTTGGGAATGGTTGGGTTTACTTTGGTGAATGTCTGAAATATGTTTTGAAGTTTGCACTTTTAGGATAACATTATATAAAATTAGTATTGAATAGTAAGAGACTGTGCCTAAGCTGTATTACAATATCACAGTATAAATACAATTAAAGAACTGTGTGCCAGGATTTTGCATATTGTTTATTTTAACTGTTTTTTGTTTGGTTTTGAATTGCTTTGGATAAAAGAAAGATGATTATAGAGCAACATACAGTAGATGGTTGAAATTCTGTTCTAGATAATGATCAATGGTTGGAAGAACCACAGCTACAACTCAGGCAGGAGCTGTGTAGCAACGTTTTTAGAGAAAAATTGGGGAAACATATTTATAGAAATGATCAAGTATTTAAAAAGTGGTGGAAAGTGAAGCACAGCTTTTTTAAAATTAAATTCCAAAAAATGAAATATTCTATTTTTGAGCAAGTTACAAAAATACATAAATAAATGAAATTTCAACTAACACTCTGTGCTGGTTTTGGCTGGGATTTTACCCTTCCGATTCTCTCCCCCATCCCACCAGGGGGGAGTGAGCAAGCAGCTGTGTGGTGCTTAGTTGCCGATTGGGGTTAAACCACAACTCATATTAATGCTCTATGAAAGCACTGATGAAACTATGAAAATTACTGTTACCTTAATATTGGAAAACCACAGGTCATTTTCATGCAGTGTAGCAACATAAACAGAAGTAAGAAGTCCAAGAGAGAGGGCAACAATTCCACCAACACTTATTGAGAGTATGTTCCACAGCTTTCCACCTGTATGATCTTGGAAGAAAAATATTTCACTCTGTAATTGTGAAACATAATTCAACTTAAAGGAATTTTGGAAACTCATTTATACATTGCCTGTGCTAGTACAGTTTACATTCTGTAGGTAAGAGAACACTTGGTTTTAAGAGGTCTTTATAGAGATGTGTTTTTATTTTCTCATATAGCAAACTCAAGAGTATTTTATTTACATGCAAAGTGAAATAAGGTGTGCCTTAATTGCTAAAATGTAGTTATAGGTTAAGAACACCATGATCCTATACAAATCTCAATAAATACCATATCTAATTTGTAAATCTAAATTGAAATATCCTCCAGGGCAACTTTTTTAATTAAGGCAATACAGGATGACTGTTAGATCACAAAGTAAGACTTCACATGTCTTAAAACAGCTGCCTGTGTTTTGGGGATTTGCTTGGTTTTTGTAAAAAACAACACTGAAGGTTCAGAAGTCTCACTAAATACACATAAAGAGACTGAACAGCGGCCAAAGCAGCCTTTGATAATGGTGTCATGCTTTGAATTGCAGATGACCTCCTGCTGACATCAGAATAAGATTATAGATGGAATGATGGGAAAGAAAGGTTGGGTTTCTAAGTAACTTGATCAATTCATTGTACACTTATGTTCCTGTTTTTTTAGTTGTTTTTTTTTTTTTTAATGTTGATATAAGGCTTAATATGGATCTTAGTGATCTGGAATTATATCTTTGAAATGGCTATTCCATACTGTGTGTGATGTCTACGTAATGGGTACCAAATACGCAATTCAATGGAACTGAGGGCTGGGCTGGATGAGAACTATGATCACTTTCCCATTTTGTATATAGCCTAAGTGTACTTGTGCAGAAACAACAATGTAACTTGCCTTTCATCTTACCCAAATTGCATATATAGAAACATTTGGAATTTAGATCAAAACATCCCTTAAAATAAGTTAATTAAAAAAAAAAACAAACCCAACAAACTTTGCAACTCTAAAGTTATATTTTCAAACAAAAATGTTGCCAGTATTTCATTATTTAAGTGTCTTAATTCGAGGATCTGTTTAATGTCTCACTTTTAAATTTACCTAGCTAGTTTGTCCTATAGTTAAAAAGCAATGGTTTCCAGTTAAATTCAGATTTCATGTGCAATCTGCTTATATTTAAGTACAACTCATCAGAGGTCTTCAAATCCTTTTATGTTACCAATGATTTGAACTGGGATTCATTTAAGAACCTACGATGGCTATATGAAATCTGACAGTTTGTCACTGATACTAAATGGAAAAAAATTATTCTCACCAATTTAAATTAGGATTTTAAAATAGAGATGAGATTGACACGCAGTTATCTGCATGCCCTCTGTCCCATCCAATTTATTTTGGTGATAGATATTCAAGTATGAAAATGTATTTGGTACATACCTAGTTCTAACCCGTGCTTAGGATAGATACCAAAAGCTAAACACTACTAAAAAGCCATAATGTTACAATCCTTTTCATTACCCACCAGACAGAATTTTCCCATCAGGCTTCACATTCTTCTCCTCTGAAGGCTGATCTTCAGCCGCTTCTGTGCCTTTTCCAGCCCTTCTCTGTCTTACGGTTGTCATGATGTCAGTCACTTTAATTCATTATTCTTCAGTCTGACTCCTAAATGGGCACATACAAGCAATACATCTTCCTACCCAAACATTCACTTAATACTGTATGAAATATCTGAAAACAGAACCATATTTTACTGCCATCAGAGACTTTGACTTACAGAACTATACTGTAGTTGAAGTGTATCTTACACAAAGGCAAGATTTTTTAAATTTGTACAACTCAGAGTGCAAATGAAATTACAGGAAACATTATCTTAAACTTGTAAAGACTTAAGTTCACAATTTTACGTACTCTTGAACAGGTTTTCATAATGATTCATTGTTCTGACTGCCCTTACTTCTGGCCCGTGGCTCAAAATGCACACCAGGCTCCACTTCTTTGAAAAAGTGTAAGCCCTTCAAGGAAAAATTAGTCCTTTTAGGGTATTTTAAAAAATAGAAAGCCAGTTGTTTAAATCTTGGCTTTCAGGAAATCCTGAAAAAGGGGGCCATAAGATGCAAAAATGATGCCAGAGAACGTATTATAAAAAACTAGAGAAAAAGCATTAAGAAAATGCTTGATGTTTTATACTATTAAAGCACCATAAAATTTGAAAACATTACAAAAAAGGCAAAAAGAAGAGCAGCTATTCATTCCCTTGTCAATTCCCAGGCACTCTTTGCTCTGTGAGCATGGTCCATACGTAAAGCTGCTTCAACCTGCCATTCTACATTTGAAAACCAATGATGTCCCATCCTGAATGCAAAAATCTGCTACCATTCCCAGAGCGCAAACAGTGATACTTGTGTTACCACTGGTGTAACTGACTGGTAACAGGAATGCTCTAAGAAATATACCTCAACCGCACAACTTTGTTGTTGTTTTAAAGTTTTTGCAGCGGATTAGCTTCGTCTCTTCCCCACATGCCTGGGAAAACACCTGGAGGGAACTATGTGAGCATCTATCTAAGTTGTTTTTAAATAGCTGGTTTGTAGAAAACCTGACAATTAACTAATACAGGCAATAGGGTCATCATAACCATGCTCCCTCTTCGCACCGCCAGTCTCAGTCAGCTTTCCTCAACGCCTTTATGCCGAAGGGAACGGTTTTGCCCGGCACGCCCGAGGAAAGTCTCGACAGGGCGCCGGGAAGTGAACGTCCCACCCCCGTCCCCACAGCTGCCTAAGGTGAGGGGAGGCGAGGCCTGGGGCAGCGGGCAGGCTCTGCGGCTGCAGGCCGGCCCCG